GTGGCTAACCTTTCAGAAGTGGTCCACATCTTCTTCTTCTTCCTAGTCTATCTTAGTCTGGAAGCCCATCTGAAACCTGTCCACCATGGGTGACCCTGCTGATATTTAAAATACTGGTGACATAGCTTCCAGCATCACAGCAACTCACAAATCACCACAGTACAACAAACTGACAGATGAGTGATGAAGGTGGAGAATAGAGAACACATAATTTAATGCGTAAACACATTGGCATTAGAGTTTGGCTTGCATTTAAATATACTAATTATACCACAAACTACCAAAACTACCAGCTGTTCAGCAGGAGAAAGATGAGGCTCTCTGCTCCCATAAAGATTTAGAGCCTCAGAAACCCCTATACAGGGTCGCTATGAGTTGAAACCAACTCCATGGCACATCACCACCACCACCATACCACAAACTAGTTATTTTTATTTTGAGCAAGTTATTAAATCTCTTTATGCCTCAGTTTCTTCACCTATAGTATGGCAAAAATAATGGCTAATTCACTGGGTAGTTGTGGACTCCTAGTGTGGCGCAGCAGGATCAGCACTGGACTGTGAACTACAAGGTCAGCAATTCAAGCCCACCAGCTGCTCCTTATAAAACTTATACAGGGTCACTATGAGTCAGAACTGACTTGACAGCGCTTAACAACAACAATCATTATTAAAATACTTCTGGTTTGTCACTGTAGGATCAGCACTGGGCTGTGAACCACAAGGTCAGCAGTTCAAACCCACCAGCTGCTCCACGGAAACCCTATACAGAGTCACTATGAGTCGGAATCAACTCAATGTCACTTACCAACAACAAAAACATCATTATTAGAAGGACCCCTGGTGGTGCAGTAGAATAAATATTGGGCTGATAACTGCAAGGTCGATGGTTCAAATCCATCAGTCACTCCATGGGAGAAAGATTACAGGCTCAGAAACTCCATAAATTATGAGTTGGAATAAAAATTACAGGCTCAGAAACTCCATAAATTATGAGTTGGAATAAACTGATGGCAGTGGGTTTTCAGGAAATTATCATCATCATCATCATTATTATTATTATGTAAAGCTATAATGGTGTGGCAGTGTAAAATAATTACTGGACTGCTAACCATAACATCGGTGGTTCAACCCCACCAGCTGTACTTGGAAACCCTATACTGGGTTGCTATGAGTTGGAACCAACTCAAAGACACTTAGTAACAGCATCATAATGATGTAATGAAAGGCAGTGGGTTCGCCATGATACATGCAATTTTAACTATAACCTTATGTTTGTATCTCTGAGTGCCATCAAAAAGGTCCTGGAACAATGGAATTGAAAGTTAATGGAATATAGGACATATGATGCTGTTATTGTTAATGCTGTCTAGTGAGTTCAAAAGAGAGCAAAAAGTCATTAAGAAGACAAGAAAGAAGGAAAAGTTCAAAATGGATGTCAGAAGAGACTCTGAAAGTTGCTCTCCAGTGCAGAGAAGCTAAAGCAAATGGAAAAATTTAAGAGGTCCAAGAGCTGAACAGAAAATTTCAAAGATCAGCTCAAGAAGATAAAGCCAAATAGTATAATAAAATATGCAAAGATTTAGAGTTAAAAAACCAAAAGGGAAGAACACGGTCAGCATTCTCAAGCTGGGGGAACTGAAGAAAAAATTCCAGCCTCAACTTTTGTTATTGAAAGATTCTCTGGGCAAATTGTTGAATGATGCAGAATGCATCAAGAAAAGATGGAAGGAATACACAGAGGCATTGTACCAAAAGGAAA